CGGGTCTCGAACCCGCGGGCTCAGGCAATCCACTCACCTCAGCCTCCCAAAGGCGTGGGATTACAGGCTGAGCCACGGAGCCCGGCTCTGATTTTGTTTTTCAAGGCTTTACCAAAGTTGTTTATCGGTGTAAGGAGGCTTTTGACAGATTCCTTAGAATTTTCAAGGTATAGAATCATGTCATCTACAAAGAGAGACAGCTTAACTTCCTCTTTTCCTATTTGGATACCCCTGATTTCCGTCTCTTGCCTGATTGCTCTGGCTAGGATTTCCAGCACTAGATTGAATAGGAAGGGGTGAGAGTGGGCATCCTTGTCTTGTTCTAGTTCTTAGGGGAAATGCGTCCAGTTTTTTCCCATTGAGCAAAATATTGGCTGTGGGTTTATCACAGATGGCTCTTACTGTTTTGAGGAATGTTCCTTCTATGTCTAGTGTTTAAGGGTTTTTTATCAAGAAGGAATGCTAGATTTGGTAGAATGCTTTTCTGCTTCTAATGAAACAATCAAGTGGTTCTTGGTGTTTCATCTGTTAATGTGCTGAATTGCATTTATGGTCTTGCTAATGTTGAACCAGGCCTGCATCCCAGGAATGAAGCCCACTTGGTCATGGTGGATAATCCTCAAGATGTGTTATTGGATCTGATTTACTAAAATCTTGCTGAGAATTTTTGTGTCTGTTCATCAAGGACATTGGCTTGTAATTATCTTTCCTTGTTGGGTCTTTCCCAAGTTTGGGTATCAGTATGATATTAGCATCATAAAATGAGTTGGGGAAAATTCAGTCACTCTCAATTACCTGGAATACTTTCAGTAAGATTGGTATCAGCTCCTCCTTGTGTGTCTTGTAGAATTCAGCTGGGAAGCCATCTGGTGCGGGGCTTTTTTTGGTGGGGAGATTTCTTATGACTGAGTCGATTTCCAGGATTGTTATTGCTCTGTTTAGAGTTTCAATTTCTTCTTGTTTCACTCTTGGGAGGTTGTGTGATGTCAGAAAGTCCTCCTATTCCTTTAGATCTTTTTAGTTTATTTGCATACAGGTGTTCTTAGTAATCTCTGGTAATCTTTTGAATTTCTTCAGGGCCAGTTGTGACATAACCTTTTTGTTTCTAATTGTGTTTATTTGAATTTTCTCTCTTTTAATCAATCTGGCCAAGGATCTGTCAATCTTATGCATCCTTTCCAAGAACTAGCTTTTTGCCTTGTTGATCCTTTATATGATATTTTTGTCTTCTATATCCTGTAACTGTGACTTGATCTTAGTGATCTGAATTTTTCTACTGAAATTAGGATTTAGATGATCCTGCCTTTCCGGCTTTCTTAGGTGTGACATTAGGCTGTTTACTTGTGATCTTTTTATTTTCTTGATGTGTGAATGCGGTCCTATGAATATGCTTTCATGGCATCCCAGAGACTCTGATAAGATGTGTCTTTGTTTTGTTTCCAGAAATCTTTTTATTTCTGTTTTGATTTCCATGTTGACTCAGAAGTTGTTCAGCAGCATGTGTTTAGTGTTCATGTCTTTGTGTTTTGGGAGACTCTTGTTGGTGGTGATATTTATTTTTATTCAACTGTGATCGAGAACATGCACAGTATTATTTCAATCTTTTGAAATTTGTTTATGCTTCTTTTGTGTTCAAGAATGCGATCAGTTTTGGAGTATATTCCATGTACTGATGAGTAGAATGTATACTCTGTAGATGTTGGGTGGAGTGTTCTGTAGATGTCTATTAAACCCATCTGATGAAGTGTCAATTTAAGGTTCCAGATCTTCTTGTTGGTTTTTTGCCTTGATGATCTGTCTAAGACTGTTAGTGGGGTATTTAGGTCTCTAACTATGATTGTATATCAGTATCCTCTCTTAGTTTGCTTAGTTGTTTTATATAGCATGGTGCTCCTGTGTTGGGTGCATGTATGTTTAAGGTGGTTATTTATTTATTTATTTATTTTTTGAGTTGGAGTCTCATTCTGTCACCCAGACTGGAGTGCAGTGGCCGCTC